CTGAGCCCCATCTCCAGCCTAGCAAAGGAGAATCGTACAGTGCTCTGTAAACTCCACTGTCTTGTTTAAAACCATTTCCGGCCCCCCCCCCCCAGTCTACCTTGCATTTAGGGTCATTACAAAGGAGCAGAATACACTGCTTCTCGCTGAGAAGCTATAGAGAGATTCCTTTTCTGGAGGTTTTTCACTTTATACCATTAAAATCAACCTGTGTAGATACAGCCAATTGTTATAAAGAAGAGCGCCCATCCCCAACAGCAGAGCAAAAGCCTGCCATGTTACTTTCTAGAGAAAGTGATTACTCGTTTACTCACATTAAATCCTGTCTTTGAGAAATTTGAAAGTCATATGAAGCCTAACGCAGGCAGAAATGGAAGAATACCCAGGGATAAAAGCAATAGGTAAAGTCCCAACATGGAAAAGGAGGGAGGAGCAGAGGACTTAGGAAGCCAACAGAAGTTCCCTAGAGGCAAGGCCAGCAGCCAGGAAAGAGAGGGTCTCAAGGCTTTTATAAAGGTGAGGAAATGGAGTTCAGAGAAGGTTTTAAGCACAAACTTCTCATTCTCTGGTTGCCTCATTCATCAGTGGCTGAAATGATTTCTTCCCAATGCACCCTTTTATTAACATTGCTCAAACGGCAGCAATGTTGGCAAATCCCATTCCTTACAAATAAGAAATATGTTGAAGACAGCCTATCCAACAGGCCCTGCTTTCATTTTTAATGTCATATCCTGCTCAAATGCCAAGTTCAAAGTCAAACATTTCTCTGAACATTTCCTCTTTGAATGAATATCTAGGCAAGGCAAATATCTATAGATGTCCTATGGACTGAATGCACAAAGTGCAGGCATGTTTAAACTTGATTAGAATTTCTGAATAGAATAGGGTCAACTGACTGTATATATATATATATATATATGCATATATATACACACATTTTTTTCTAATATAGTTCAGAAAGAGTAAGAAAATGAGAATACTAGACAAGGTAGCTAGCTGTATGATGAAGTAATCTGAAATCAAAAAGTAAAGACCAAGAATTCAATCTATCTTCAGACCTTTGCTTGGAGTTGGAGTCTGTTTGACCGAAAATCCCTGGCATTTGTTTCTGGACATAGGAACTATTTAGTGACTTAGGATGTAGATGCCAGGAAGTAAGCTACAGGCTGAAACTAAAGGAGTGATGTAGGGATGGTTAAGGAAAACACAGATTGTGAGGTAGCACAAGATTTAAAGCCCGTGGAGGAAAAGAATTGGGGGTGAGAGTATAGAGAAAGAAGACTAGACAAAGTACTGAGTTGACCTACATTTGAAATGATCCATTTTATGTAGTTTTACATAATGACCACCTGAGGGCACTATGTACTATGCACCCAAGAATCTTTACTTTTACCCCATCAAGGAAAGCTATTCTCAATTTGCTGAAGGACAAAGTCAGGTTAATATCCTAAAGAAATGGACACACGGAAGATGAGGACTGAAAACAATTCTATTTTTGTTCCTGAACTCCATTAATGGATAAGCAAGACTGACCTCAATTCAAAACCCTGGGTAATTGCAAGGCTCCCTTACCCTCATTTAAATCTATTTAGTAGTTAGCAGGCACTCAATAAGTGTTAGAGCCTTCACCCAGCACACAGATAACAAACATACAAATACGCTAAATATAGGAACAAGAGAAGCAGTATAAGGAGGATTTACATCCACCTGTTACCTCTCTGAAGGGGGCAGGACTCAGAAGTTCCAAAATGAATAGAGAGCTATGGCTAGAAATCACCCCAGAGAACAAATTTATGTTCCTCCTTTCATCCTCTGGTGCAGCTTGTACATAATAGGCAGACGGAATGGAACACAAACAGCTGGGAAATAAAGATGAAAGCAAAGCTGGATCAGCAGGGAGAGATATACAGCCCCCTGAGAACCTGGCCGTGTCATGAAGGATAATTTGAACAAGGTCAAGCCACCTGCATGGGTTTCCGCCCCTCAGGGAAAGGAGATCAGAGTGTTGTCCATTTCTGCCCATCTCCCTCTGAGCCCATGGAATCCACAGCTCCCAGCTTTTGAAATGTCTACACTGCGGTTTTGTCTATAAAGTGAAGCAGAGGCACCGACAAAAGTAGGCATTACAGCAGAGGCTAAATGTGGAATTTTAGATGTCTGGAAACAAAGAAAATCAGCTTCCCAGAGCCAAGGAGTAGGTTGATGTCAGCACCAACAGCAGACAGCATAGTTTGTGGCCCTATGCTGCCCTCTAGTGCTTTTATAAGGTATAGTAATGTGAGGTGGGGAAAGAATCCTCACTCAGCAGATCAATGTGATTTCAACAGAGGACTGGTAACACAAAAAGTAAAACTCTAACACAAAAGATAATCCAAAATGTATACAACGGTGAAAGACAGCTTGAGTTTGGCCCGGCATCGAACATCCACCGGTTGAGGATTGCAACATGATATTTAGATCAGTGGATGTCTCCCAAATCAGAAATGTTTAGCATTCCTGATCATGTCTTTGAGATCATGACTGCTTCTGTTAGCTTGGCATGGGATTCAGAGAGCTACATTTCACAACCACAACACATAGCTCTAATGTGTTGAGTTGAATGTCTTCCCTTTGAGCAGAACCAAAGGCATTCAGGATGCAAAATAAACCTGAATAATTTTAATTCCTTAAGGGTATCACTTATAGGAAAAATAACCATAATATTAAACAATTGGCTCAAATAGGGCCATATTATTTTTTTAAAAAAAATTCCTGCCTTTAGAGTGGCTCAAGTCTATGTGACTAGCATGCATGTTGATTTGAGAATGAGGGTTCACACAGAAGCTCTCATACATATAGTATAATATATAATGTATATATATTATATAAAAAATTTTCACTTAAATGCTTGTGGGCTTCCAGGTGGGAAGGAGGACCACACCCAGCTGCTTTTACTAGTCCTTCAGATGTCCCTGTTAGATATGAGGACTTCTTGCTACACCTTGTTTCCGTGTCCCCGATATGTTCCTGATGTGGTTCTAGTCTCCTCGGTATTGTATTCAGCCCTTGAACACCTGGTCCTTTGGACAGAAGCTTCTCATGACTTTTGTCTCCCAGCTCTGCTGGGCAATGGAGTACAAAGTCAATACTCTCCATTTGGCTAGTACCTCCAGCCACACACATGCTAGCCCAGGATGGCAGATAGATACATGTCAAGTCAAGGGGACTCACGTGCCCCCTCTTGTGGATGGCTCCTATGACAACAAGTCTACGTGGGGTTTATTGTTCCTGTTGAACTGTATGTCTGATTTAATTATAAGATCTTGTTCTCACACTTTAGCCAGGTCTACTACATCTGGAAACATTTAGAAACATCACAAGGTTTAAGGGGATCACCCTGAGTGAAGAATCTGATTGTCCATCCAGGACAATTTAAATTGTGTGAGATTTTAAAAATGCAACCAAGAGTCTGACATTATATGTTGTTGGTGGAAGTGAGAATTTTATTATTTTTAACATGAGGAATGTCCATTTTATTTTTAAAAATTTTCAGAGTTAGCACACATTCCATGTTAAGAGAATATTCAGCTTTGTAGGGATCAAAGATGTGTAAAGCTACCCCTACATCTGCCCACTCTTCCAGAAACACTCCTTCGAGTTTTTGTGAATCATGAGTGAATGTTAAACCTCCCAGAAGACAGTGCTTACTTATTTACCAGAGACATGTAACCCAGAGCCTCACACTTTGTCTGTGCTTCACCCTGTGGGTCTATGTGTGTAACACACTTCCACCAGTGTTGAACTGTGCTTTTCCCCCACAATTAGTCTCTGATATGGTATTGTGGTCCAGAGGGTCTCCAGAGAAGTTCATGAATCTTCTCTGAGACATCTCCTATGTGGAATGGTGTTGTGTTGCTTTATTGTGGTGGCTGGCTGGGCCAGTGTACTAAATTTATTAATTCCATCCTTTACCGTGATAATCACCACCTGAGGCCACCCTGTGAAACACAGCGTGCTCCAAATGTGAATGCAGACATAGTCCATCAGGAGAGAAGATAGAGAATGAGTCCTAGTGTGGTAAATAGCACTCCCTTTGAATTTTGGGGTTATTTTTCTGAGCTCCATCGTTACACTGGCTTTCTTTGAAGTTAACAAGAGGTCCACAATAAAAGAAGGGAGAGAGATATGATCATACATTCTATGTGCTAGACTGAAAAAAAACCCACACATGTTCCAGGACTGTAAAGATCGTCAATCTATTCTGCAATTGTAGAAAGTGAAGCACTGTTCACTCTCTTTTCAACTTAGTTCGGACTATTTTCTCTATTCAAAGTTATTTCTGACTTTCTGTGTTTCCTACCTCTCCCTTGTATTTAAATTCTGAATCAAAGGTAAGGGATACTGTCAATATTCAATTAATAGCTCTTTCCAAGAAAAATATGCCTACAATCATATAATCAAGATTCAATACGGTGGAAAAACATGAGTTTAGTTTTCCTGAACAGCTGGTAAAAGCAGCCTTTTCCCCCCAGTATTATAGGGGATGGAATTCACCAGGGGACACTTTGGGGAGGAGCCATTCTCAGAACTCATGTTGGTCAAACATTCTGGCAACATCTGGAAACCTCATCAATAAAAGAAAACTGATAACTTCTACAAGAAGCTCATTCTACATCTGCTTACCTTGAGTGAAAACTAGTGGGATTTAAGGAACTTGAGACTATCTACTTTTCTTCCCAAATATCAAGACTGAGAGTACATTTTCTTACCTGTTAAATTTTAATCACGCACACCTTCTTAGGTGTTGTACTTTCTGAGCAGCTATTAAAAATACATATGTTCTTGCCACATTCAAGAGAGAACAGAGGCTTGTGTGTTGTATTATTAAATATGAACTGGAAATGAGATTCTGGTCAGATTTTGTGGAAGATCTACACATATATGTCCCTAAGCAAAGGAATTTCCACTAGAATGGAGACCATGTGGTTTGATGCTGCGGCCTCGGACTGAGCAGTACTTACTCTTGAGGTCTAAGTTCCTGGCTCCTGCAGTGATTTGCGTGGTGATTTTCGTGTCAATCTTTACGGTGTGGAGATTGCTGGTGTCCCTTGAAATCATCACATTGTGCCATTGATTGTCATTGAGTGGTTTATTTGAGCTCCCTTTGATGAGGTTAGCACCATTTCCCAAGTCAAATACATAATGTAAGTATCTGGAAAGAAGAGGAGATGGGGGAAGGGTCATCGCTTTGAGAAATTTTAATGGGTTTTTATACTAGATACTATAAATGGTGATTTTTTTTCTCATTTCATGTGGTAGCCTCTTTGCATGAAGTCCTGAGCATGGATTTGATGAATAATAAACTATTGTTTCCAAAGAAGGTAACTCCTTTCAATAGGGTTTTCCCACATCCATAATGCCCCCTCCCCATTTATTTATTCATTTATTTTGCTAAAGATGCTTAAAGGACAATTCTCAGCTGCTTCTATCTTTTTTGTTTGTTTGTTTTCAATAGAGTATATGCCTACTTTTCAAAGAAATCTAGCTCAAGTATCTATTGCTGGATGAAATGCCTTACAAAATTTCCAAAGCTTTTCCTGAACTATTTCACTAATCATTTTAGGAAATTGTGATAGTTTTCTGTTAGACTTACAGATTCATTTGTATCCAATAGGGTTTTATATTGGTGTTTGTGGGGCTCAGATTTGGTAGGGTTCAGAGATGTGCAAATACTAGCTGCACTATTAGCTTACTATAAATATACAGTATAATTCAGTGAGGGAGTGAATAAATTTCTAAATAAAAAAAGAGGCATTCAAGGAGAGCACTGGTGGCTCACACCTGTAATTTTAGATACTCAAGCAGCTGAGATCTCAAGATCACAGTTTGAAGCCAGTAGGGACAGGAAAGATGTGAGCCTGATCACCGATTAACTACCAAAAAAGCTGAAAATGGAGCTATAACTGAGAGGGAAGTCCACTAATTTTGAGTGAAAACATTCAGGAATAGTGCCCAGGCCTTGAGTTCAAGCTGCAAGACAGGCAGGCAGGCAGGCAGACAGACAGACAGACACACACACACACACACACAAAGACATCCATTTTCTATCATATTCTCAAAGAATCTTCATTAAAAATTCTTTCCAAATTATTCATGGGACTATGACATAAAACGAAGCTTGAGCGAAGTGGAATTTCATGAATTCATTATTTAATTTAGGACAGACTGGCCTACAAACTTGCAGGAATTCTTTGTGAAATTCCATTGTGCGCAATCAGGAAATGCATGATAGAAGTAGCATTTCATGGGATGCCTAACAGCATCAGAACTTGAGGTTGTTACCAGTACTTCATATGAGGTACTGTAGGTACTGCATTTTATCCATATTTACTTAAGATATTGAACAAGCAATACAAATGAATTCATTATTTGTGTGTCTTTTGTTCTGACCAATTCCTTTCTAAGCTAATAACATGCTGTTTAGTATAGATTTTTGGAAACAGAAGTCCCGACTATTTATTTATTTATAAGTTTTTAAAGCCAAATAGCAAGTTTATGTGAGAGGGAAAGGAAAAGAGTAGGACATTCTGAGAAGGGCCCCAAAGAAGTCCACAAGGAACCCTTGTTTGTTGGTTGGTTTGATTGGTTGTTTTGTGTTGGTCTTGGGTAGTATTTCTTAGCTTTTTTAAAATTCAATGCTACCGTTCTACCATTTGAGCCACGATTCCTTTGTTGTTTGTTTTTTCTTATTTATCATTGATCAGACATCTACTTACCCTTTCACTAATTCAACCACAATAAAGTCATTTCCATCCCCACTGTTGTACAGAATTAGTCCATCTAGGGATGTTGTCTTGAACTGGAAAAAGAGATGCATAGAAGTGTAGGCTTGCAATGTAGCTAAGGCAACATAGCTTGATTTGGTCTTGAAGGTGACAGGGTCTGCTATGATGTTCCTGAAGCCAAATCTGGCATTGAGCTCACAGTAATCTATGTCACCATTTTTACACAAGTCAATGTAGGCCATCCCATTGAATGTCAGACTCTGTAAGTGTCCAATGAAGTTGGAGGGGACAGAAGAAAGATATCGTCGTTCTGTGATTATGCCAGTCTCTATGTTATGGAATTCCAGCCTTGTATGGTCACCAGCCATTTGGCCTAAAAGAAAAGACAATATAATATTATTTATTGTTTATGGCTGAAGGATGCTTTCAAGATTAGACTTCATTAGTAATAGTATATTGTATAATATGAGAAAACCAAGAGCTCATTTACAGTTATATATACATATATATATATATATGTATATAATGGGATCAGGTCATGTAGATAATGGTACTATAAAAATAAAATATATTATTTATATATTATTAAATTTCTAATATACTTAAGTTTTAAGTCAGATTTTAATTCTTATGCAAATTTTAGTCTTAGCAAAATCAAACCAGTGACAAAGTGACATAATTATTTTTATAAAGTGAAATAAACAGAAAGAGAGGAAGAAAGGAAGACAGGGAGGAAAAATATAAAGGAGGTGGCAGCAAGGGAATGAGGGAAGGAGAGATAGGGAAAATGCTGAGAAATGATTGTCTTAAGGAATTCCATTAGAAATTGATACAACTCACCATTATCAGCTGATGCATTTGTTTATATTCTTTCAGGAAAAAATATGTTCCCATATATTTCAAATACTCTGTTAAGCTACTACTGAGTGTCCTTTGAATGAGGAACCATAAACATGTTTTTGACAGTATATACATTCTTTTAAATATCTCTTTCCTCTGTTGTCTAATACCGATAGTGTTTACATGATCGAGTCCTCCAGACACATTAGAAAGTCTAATCTTTGAACTGATGCCACCCATATTCCTTCTGGTTTTGGATAACCAATCTGAGAAAAGTATTCTGCTTTGAAGTACATACAATGTTGAGAATACCAGCAAAATTAATCCATATCACCACATTTTTAATCTTGACACATCCTAGTGCAAAGCTTAGTTGTAGATTTATTAGTAATTAACTTTTTAACTTAGGCCCCCATCCTGGCATATTTGTCTCCCAACCTCATTCCATTTCTGCCTTCCTGAGCATGTTGGAGTAACATCAAACAAAGGTGTGAATTTGTTTTCTAAATGGGACAGCACTATACAAATAAGAGATTCTTTTTGCTCATGGCTCAGTCTCAGCATCTTGTTGTTGTCTAATTACACTGCTCCCTGTGTGCTGCACTTTCAAAAGATCACTTAAATTGCAATCAAGTTCTTCCAGTCAATTTCTTGGCTAGATGCCCTGCCCAATTTGGCATAATTGGAAAATTTATCAAGCTTACCCTGTCCTGTCACCCATGATAATAATGAAAATATGAGTTCAGGCTAATCTAAGAAGGAGAAGTGGAGAAAAAGTACTGACTGAACCATCTTCCCTAGGTGTACTGCTCATTGACCACCCACCAATGTGGGCCCCCGATTTGACAAGGCTTCACCTAGTTCATCAAAATAGTAAAATAGTGCAAAGTGTCTTAAAGAATTGCTTGTAAACAACTTATAAAACAGTGTGCTCATCGTTGTGTAAGAAAAACGGGCTGTTAATTCAGTGACTGTAACATTTTTAAAATCATTGGTGTAAAGTATAAAACCCTGCACTATGCTTAGCTCTACTTGCTTTTCAAGCATCTTTATGAGTTTTTAATCCTTTATAACGTCACTCCAGTCATCCTGGCTACTTTTTGAAATCGTTTGGCTTTGATTTCTCTATGTACTTTTTGGGAGAAAAACAACACACAGACAAAACTATCGCTGTAAATAATTGTTCCATCTCTTCCCCTTCCAGCTCAAGGCCTTTGATGGTGATTGTCTCTCTGACACAAAATGCTATTATGTGTTTAACAATTCTGGTTTCTAATGTAACATCATTTCTCTTTCCTTCTTTAGTTCTCCAGTGATCTCCACGCTGTTCTGTGAGTATCAACTACATGGGTAACAAATAATTTCCAAATGTAAAGTTCTAGAGGCAGGAGCAGCATTAAATTAGCAATTTACATAGAAGGAAGAATACGAAAAGAACATGAAAAACCAATTGGGTTTGGATTGCTTGTACTGAATTTATCTTTTAAAAGACATATATTATAATCTGAATCATAATTCCATGAACTCCACTCAAATCCTAACACTGATATTTCTGGCTGTACAGATGAATAGCCAATAGTAAGAAAGTATGCAGAAAAATTGTTTCTAATATTTGAGATTGCATACAAATTGCAAGATCTTGGTACCTCCAAAATAAGGAAGAACATTTTATTTGTTAATACTAAGAAGTTCAGGGGCTGGGAAGGTGGCTCAGTGGGAGAGCTTGCCTTGCATGCATGAGGCCCTGGGTTCGATTCCTCAGCACCACATAAGCAAAAAAAAAAGAACAAAGCCGGAAGTGGCGCTGTGGCTCAAGTGATAGAGCACTTGCCTTCAGCTGAAGAGCTGGGACAGTGCCCAGGCCCAGAGTTTAGGCCCCACGACCGGACACCCCCACCACCAAAAAAAAACCTAAGAAGTTCAGTGACAAAATTAATACTATCTGTTTCCTTTCCTTAAAAATAGAATTTTTATATTTTATAAATACAAATTTATTTTTAATGATTTTATAAATAATAAAGAAGGTCCTAAAATTTTGTAGAAACAACAATGTCCTGTTCATTAGAAAATGAAAAAGACGGGGGCTAAGTTGAAAGGCCTATTTTTCCTCTAATAAATATGAATCACCAATATTTATCAATTACTTCAAGACTGTAATTGGAGAGAGGCTTAGCTCATGTGTGAAAATTAGCACCTAATAACAATTATTCATTAAGGAAACACTGAATATTGCCCATTAAAATTATTTTTCATTCAGGATTTACTTGAGTTTAGTTTACACCAGTAATGTGGTCACTGCTGTCTAATATATATGTATATATATATGTGTGTGTATTATATGTAATATATGTAATATGTATGTTTATTATATGAAATACAATGTGTTAGATGTAATATAATATGAATTGTTACATAAATTACATATGTGTTACATAAATTACAAATAAATGGAGAATTTTGAAGGAGGAAATTTAATGAGGATTTTTATGAAGAGTGATTTTTATGGTTTTGTTTCAAATGTACTATGAATTCTAAAGATTAAGTGTACAGAAAAGTTTACAATTAGTATACTTCCTCCAAACAGGTTATATATAAAATACCAAACTGACATCAACTTTTGATAAGAAACAACTACCACAGCATGCATTCTGGGTGGTGTTTGTATAAGAACTGCTGTATATTTTATAAAGAAGCCAGTGTTCTCTATTTTGGAGCTGCCAGGATTTGATTATTTGAGATAGTGTGTGATATCAAAGCATGTAGAATCTGAGTTAACTATTTCAATCAAACTGGTATTAAGATCAGCTATTTTAAGTTCATTCTTGTTGTTATGTGGAATGAAGTAACTATGAAGCCTTAAATCCATGCTTCCTGCACATGCAGTTTATGTGTTGGGTGCTATGCTAGGGAATGAAGAAATAGTGCTGAGAGGAGCAGATAGGGCTCTGTTCTTCCAAACTTTTATTGAGGGGTTGCAGACAGAAAGGAGCCAGAATTTGATTAATGTGTAGTAACAAGATTCAGAAAATGACTCGATTTTAATGAATAGGATGTTATATTGGTAAATATGGAATAAAAGCATGTACATGAAATCATAGTTACATTAAATTTGTAGGACTAAAATGGGGTAGCCATGCTAAAAATGGGAGAAGTGCATGGTGGATTCTAAAGGAGAAACAGATAAACAAATCCACTGGAAGCATGAGCTAGATGCATGAGCAAGTGAAGTTAGTGACTCACACAAGATGAATGCCAAGGACCAAACTATTCACAAAGCAACCCAATTTTATATAAGGACATACTTTTATAGAGCAGGGTTTTAGTGGGAATATATATGCCATAGCTCTCTCTCTCTCTCTCTCTCTCTCTCTCTCTCACACACACACACACACACACACACTCATATACACTTTCTCTCACCCTGAGTATGTGTGTGTGAGAGAGAGAAAGACAGATTGAGAGAGAGAGAGAGAGAGAGAGAGAGAGAGAGAGAGAACATGTATTCTGTGCTTATGAGACTATAGAGGGATTTAGTAGGTGTGGTTGTATCAGAAGATAATTTTGTAGATGTGATTTGTAACACTTAAAAATGATGTCCAGAATGATAGAGAGGAGGAGGCAATGATGCCCAACCCTCAGGTTTGAATAAATGAATATATGGTGAATCTTGTACAGTGAAGACAGATACCAACACAAACACGCAAAACACAAAACTCCAGATGTTTTAGACAAAGTAATGAACAGAAACCTAGTGCCTTCATACTTAGAGATCTTCCATGGTTTCTATAACTCTTTCCGATTCAGTAAGCATTGGTTGTAGTACAGAAAGTGTGCTGAAGTTTGAATACAATTATTTCTTTAACGCTTAGATACTAGATCAGTTAAAATATCCTCAGTAGATGCAAAATCTTGGGTAACATTTTGAAGAAGCGCAGGACATATGTAAGATCAATATGATTCTCCACAGATTACTTATTAGTTGCAGGTAATGACAGTGAAAAAACTGGACACATTATCTACCACCTGATCAGATGTAAGCACAGATAAAGACAGCATCTGCCTTCCAGTGTATTTTTCCAGACAGAATCTTGTAACAAAGTCACCATGTTTGGAAAGTGGGCTTTCATTTAGGAACATCATGCCTGAAGTTAATCATGAAGAAAAATCAGATAAACACATAATTCACACCAAGAGTTACATTCACACCAAGTAATGGTGGAGAATTATATTCTTCAAAAATGTCATTGCCTTAAAAGACAAAGAGTTTGTCAAAATGTTGTAGATTGGATGAGACTAAAGAGACAGCAACTTAACAGCATATCTGAGCTTAGACTGCAAACATTGCTGGAGAGAGAAGAAATGATCTTACAAAAAAAAACACAATGTGAATTCAACTGATAAACCTGTTTGATGACAATGCAGGGGACAAGATACATTTCATAAATGCAAAATTCACTGAAGTTGCCAATGTTTACTTTGAGGTGTGTAAGCAGCTATTTGTAATCCTAGAAAAGCTGAGCTGAAGCATTAAGGAGACATTGTGTATGTCACTTCTCAAACTGGCTAAGAAAAAAAAGGAGAGTATGAGAAACAAGAGAGGAAGAAATTGCAAATGTCAAAGCAAATAGGGTAAAATGTTTGCAAGAATAAAGAAAGCTGGCGCTGGTAGGTTATGTCTGTAATCCTAGCTACACCAGAGGTTGAGATCTGAGGGACAGAAATTCAACAAGAGCTGAGGCAGGAAAGCCTGTGAGAGTCTTATCTCCAAGTAAAGTGTTTATTGCACAGCCACACATTTATTAGGATGTTGTTGAATATAAAGGAATAGACTCTAAGTCAAACCAAAATAAGCCAAATGTGCTTGTCCATGCTTATAATCCCAGGACTTCAGGTAGGAGGATTATGTCTTCAGTGTCAGCCTGGTCTATACCATGAGACTGGATCTGAAAACCCCCAAACCTTGACACTGTTGGCTCTACGCTTCTAATCCTCCCTGATTCGCGCCTAATATGAAAAGTCAGTTCATCTGACAGAATGCTATTATATCTACCAATTTACTTAGAAAATAAAAGTTAAAACTTGCTACTTCTCATCAGTTAAATATGTGAGAACCAAACAAAAAGAGAAGAAGAAATCATCAATTAAGCAATGACTTCAATACTTTTTGAGACATATTCATCAAGCCACAAAAGTAAAATTCACTGTTAACTTCTTCTCAAGTTATTAATGGACACGAACATGAAATAAAAAATTGTTATTCATTTGGGAAGAAATACTTACCAGACTTCTGAGTAAATGGTTTTTTTTTAGCAGTGAATTAAATAAAAAACAAACAATGGATTTAAGAATGAACTGCCTATGTAACTTTACTTTCAAGTTGTAGATCAGCCTTGGTTTGAACAGTGACCTATAAGAAAAAAGAAAGTCTTAAGGGGTGATGCTATGGTATTTACCTGTCATGGCCTGTTGATCATCAACTGTTAACTTTAAACTTTTTCCTCGACGAACCACACGTACTGTGTGCCATTCATTATCATTGAGGTTATAGCCAGCAAAAAGGGTCTCAGGACCTTTGCCTGTAGAATATGCCAAACAGTCATTATGGACAATCAGAATCAGAAAAGCAAATGAACCTCACAGAAAGAAAAAGGAAGACAAAGAAAAGGGGGAAGAAGAAAGAGGGAAGAGAGAGAAGAAAAAGTAGACAGAGAAAGAAAAAGAGAGAGAAAGAGAGAGAAGAGAGGCTGGACCAATTTTCAAGCCCATTAGAGTTATAGCAAGCAAGGAAAATGACAAGTTAACAAACATTCAGGTGTGACAATTTCAGAATCTTTTATGCATCGATCTAAGATAAATCAACTAACCTGTTGTCATAAATAGGCACAATCAATATACTATAGGGAAACATCCAAAATTTATACACACAGTTATTTTAAGTAATCACAGAATTTCTTACATTTATTATTTTTCTTACTAATGAACTGGTTAGCAGTTATATGGCTTATGAGACATCTGACTAGAGGTCATTACCAATCCAATTTCAGTGGCATGGTAATTGGCTGATTAAACTTGAAAGAAGCCTCAAGTTTTGTTTGTGACAGCATTTCCTCAGCTCTCAAATCTTTACCTCCAATACTCAACAACTTCTTAAGTTCACCAGTCTTTGAATATACATTAAACCTCATTATAACTGACTGACCTGTATGTAGTAACTCTCTACATGTGTATGCAAATAGAAACTTCCTGAACTTGGAAGAAATGGCCAAATATAAGGCAGAGAAATTAAAATGCAAATATTGAGTGGGAAGAGGGGAAAAGTGGTATCAGATTGGAAGGGATTCTCAGACAATGGCCAAAATAAAGAGCAAAGAGTGTAGCCAAACTATAAAAGGACTTTCAGTGCACCTATCAAACCTATGTAAATAGAATTTAAATAAGACTTAAAAAGACATCTTATTTCAGAAAATTATGTGCTAACGACCAAGATTAAAAAGGGAATAATTGAAATAATTTATTAATAATAATTCTAGTATATCTAGAATCTTTATTAAATAAGTACTTTTAGTAGGCCACCATTATCATTTAGAAAAATGTGATAAATATGCATTTTTTTCTTTAGTGATGAGATTTTCCTATTCTGTTTTCAAGTACAGAAACTTGTTGTTACATTGAGAAAATGAAGAGCCTCGACATTACTGAATTGAATGGCTTTCTGCTAATAAAGAGTCAGGACTGGAGACTTAATTGTTGTTATCCAAACCCTACCAACACAGGCAACTGATGTCTAAAGATCCAGTGGAAAAGAAAAAGAAAAACAAAAGAAGACAAAGAAAAATGTATGTCAGACAAGCAAGCAGGGGGAAAAAATTCTCAGAATTTTCTCCTCATTTACTTGGGACCATTATTTTCTTTCAGGACAATGAGCTGTCCCTCACATCTTATTTCTGTCTTGTGCTACTTAAAAGTCTCTCCTTCCCCATGGGTGTGTCTTTTGAGGTTAAAATGCATCAGTGATCTAAAGCTAAATTGTGCAAGGTACATTACCTCTGTTCTTTCGCAGTAGCAAACTACTGTTAAGATTACAAATCTCTCTTTATTTCCTCTTTAAGGGAAGATAAAATTACACATCTAGATATCTCAGTAAAAAGTTCTGGGTAGAATGGTTTTGAGAAATTGATCACTAACTGACTAGTGGAAGCTGGCGAGTTCAGGAACGGCAAAACGGCCACGGGACCAAAAATGTTGAAAGTGTGTTCCTGGATCAAAGACTTTCCTTCCAGCTTCAGCAGTGAGGAAAGCATCTAAAAGCACAGAAGCTGAGCCTCCTCCTGACAGCTGGGTGATCCCTGGTTTTGATCTCTGAAAAGAGAATATATTATTTTAAAGCTACTTTTACAGGGAAGAATTTTTTTCTACTTCAAAATATGTGCTTTAGAGGCAGCTTTCTTCCTATCCCTTTAGTTTTAAATATGTTTTCACAAGGAAAAGCTATATACGGGCGATATCATCATCATATCCCATTCTGGGGGCCATCCTGCAGTACAGCCATAATGCCTAATCTACGAAACGGCTATTTCCACAACAGGCCCCAAATCTAATTAAAAAAATAACCCTTTGGTTCATAAAAACCTCTCTGGGCTAAGTTCAAACATCTCCCTTGCATTATTAAAAACACAAGCAGTTTGATATTGGAAGACTAGGTTCTTAGAAACATCCTGAATCGTCTGGGTTCTAAATAATGGTAGTGATATAACCCAAAAGGTACTCTGGGCTGGAAGTTCAGGTCTGTGATTACTAATACTTGATTTACTATGAAAAAGAAATTGGGGCTGGTGAGTGCTTAACATGTACAAGGCAGTTTATCTGCCATCTTATTTCAGCTTTTCATCATTATCAACTTGCAAATGTGAGGCTGAAGGTTTACAAAGCTAAACCTGTTTGTCTCATGGTCACACAGCTTACAAGGGGGTAGAACTGAGTGTTGTTTGAGGTCTGATTTGCTCAAAGCCTACTTGTTTTCCCTTTCAGTATTTAGCCTGTCTTTATGAGACCCTTTGCAGAATTTGAGTTCTCCTTTTCCCCATATCTTGTATCTTTGTGATGTCTTGGTGATGTTTTCCAGCTTGCCTTACAAAAGAATCAACAGGTGAGAAAACCTCCACACAGCCGCTAAGAGGCTCTAGTGAAGAGAATCTTCTCATAATTCACCCTCTACTTAGGGAGAAGGCAGCCTGGTGCAAACCAGGAAGAGGACATCACAAAGAACCAAATCTGCAATAGTTCCATCTGGGATTTCCAACCTCCAGAACTACGAGCAAAGACCTGTCTATTATTGAAACCAGCTACTCTATGGTATTTTGTTAAATCATCTGAATGGTCCATGAGAGGGTACAATACTTGTGAGATTAAGAAAGTCCAAAGCATGGTTGCTTAAAGTTAGTTTTTGTTTTTGTAGGGAGTTGTGTCTTATATGCAGTCTTGTACTTGATTCTGACTGGCACCTATTATTTAAGCTACAGAAGCATCATCTCATATTTTGGATTCAAGAAAGCAGATCTAGAAAGGTGAGGTGAATTATAAGTCTCAGTCAGAAGCAGTAAGGAACAGAGCTAAGACAGATTTTTTTTCAGCTTTCCAGGTCCACTAAAATGTCTTTCCCAAAGAAAGTATTACAACTGTAGCAGTACAAGAGGTAAATGTAAAAAAGGAATGCAGTGGGTGGGAGAAGGTCCACAGGTACTAATTCCAACAGACTGGGTCTGAATTCAGTATTGCAGGCTAAATGTCTCCAGAGCACAACTATTTAGCTGGAGAGCTCAAGTGTCTACATTACCAGTTCAAGAATCTGTAAAGAAAATCAACCGGTTACCATGCTGATATAACTTAACTAATTGGGCTTAAGCTCTTCCTGTGAGTCTCTTTGAGTTAGATTTGAACTTAAACTCATTCTATTCTATTGGGGAACATAAATTGATATGTAAAATGTTTTAATGAAGAAAAGAATAGTTTCCAAAAAGTGTATGGTTAATTGATCCTACTCATCTTTATTCCAGGTGAGTTATGGGAGATGTTAGCTGTCTTATCTTAGTCCTCCTAGCGGCAATGTTGGTAGAATGGTGTATCCATGATTCATTTCGAACCTACTTAACATGTGTCACCTACTTTTCATGCCATTCTTTTCTTTCCTGCTCCTTTCCAATTTTCTTCCTATGTATCAACCCATGACAGCACTCTTCCAAATACATTTTGAAAGGGTCTTCCTGCTTTGGGTAGCAGAATCAGCACAATCCAGAAACAAGAGAGTATTGTACACTGAGTTCTAGAGACAGTGCTGGAACATTCATTCAAATGTCAATTCTCCCGTATTTCCTTGGACAAGGCATAGTAGAGAAAGCTTGAGCGTGGGTATTCCAAATGAGATTTTGTATGTTCTGTTTTGTTGGGTTTGGTTAAGTTGGTGGGCTTCTTTAACTTTCCCTTCTACAATCTGTAAATATGTGATCTGCTCTCCTTTATTGAATGGTTTTAAGGACCAATGAAAATCACAATTTTGACATCTGATGTGACACCAATTATAGCTATCTCTTGCATTTAGGAGAGAATAATGTAAAGGCCAATTTGTGGGTTCTACAAACATCCCCAAAGCACCTATCACTTACAAATACCTGGTAGCTTGATATAGTAGATAAATAAATAAGATATTGTTATATAAAAACAATATGCATGACTTTAATTAAGCAAGTACACTGAATAGTACAATCATTTGAAATTAGGACATTCAAAGTCCTACCTTTTGGAACAGTTGTCAACTTAACCTGAGATTTAGCACTATTTGCTTTTGTTTAGTTACTTCCCAAAGCATTCACAATAAATGTGAAAGTAAATTATATTTATGTGTATATATGAATATATATATACACATATATATATTGCAAAGGAGAACACAATTGGTCAATAAAGGTGGAGTAACATGAGATGCCCATGATATTAATTTTGGATCACTTGCATAAAAAAAGGGTAGGTAAGTGTCTGTGACTGCTTAGACTGGTTTGGGAATGTGAGTTGGTAGGGCAGTGTTGAAAAGCAATAGGGAAAAGGAAAATGAAGATAGGAACTCTTTTAAGTAATATAAGCAGAGACTTCTAGGGGAAAAACTTCATAGATATACCTGGAACTGAATGACATTTATAGTTGATATAAATTTGGGAGTACATAAACCATATCAGTTACATTTGTATTCATATGACACTTAGACTTTGGTACCATATGGAAGAAACTTATTACATCTCCCTCTGCTGGTATATTTCAGACACTATAAAAGTATACATTGTCTGAAAGGTATCTAAGAAATAATTTCTCATTTATACCACTACCCAATAAAGGTATCTAAGAAATAATTTCTCATTTATACCACTACCCAATTAGTTCAATGGTTCATCTGCCCACACTGCTAACTTCATGTTCAAATTGGGAAGTTGATGGATGTGTCTGCCTTGATTACAAAATTTGTCTTTTTAGAAAAGATGCACTCACTTCATCCACTTTATTAATTATTGTTATGCTTTAGTACAGCCAT